TGGTGATGACTAGCTGCCTTCCCTCTAGCTTACACTGCTAAACTTAGGGACGGCTAGCGCAGATAGCCCTCGTGTAGACTTTGACGCGAAATTCAAGAACAAACAAACAAACAATAAAGCACACCAGCCATAAAACAATAGCTTACACGTTGTCATACAATGCATGAAATCAAGACCAAAATCAGCTGTACAAACAAATTTTATATTGAAGCTGACATTATAAACCAGTGTCTCTGAGGATAATATTAATAACCCCTCCTAGTTTAGAAGATGTATACTAAAAATGTAGGAGTTCGGAAGATCCATTCTAACCAGTAATATGATACCTGTAAAATAAAGAAATTACAGAGCAAATACAAGACAGCTACTGTAAGAGAAAAAGCAAACAAACCACATATAATTGTTTAAGAGGATATAAACTACTTGATGTATTTGTAAACGAATAATTTACCAAAACGCTTATAATATATTATTTATAATCATATTTTTGAATTAGTAAACAGGAAAACGGGAATGTTTTTTTTTTATCGCAAAGTTACTCAACAGGTTATCTGTGCTCCGTCCATCGCAGGGAATTAAAACCCAGATTTTAGCGTTGTAAGTCCGTAAACTTACCGCTGACCCACCGGCTGACTAAAAATTATATAAATGATGAATAAAAATCGGCAGACATTTAAAATTTCGAAATTTGATGAAAATCAACAATGCAAAGTTAGTTTGTGTGATAATTTTTTTCTCACAAAACATACTGTACATCGTGGATTCCAGGGAGTGTTCGATTTCTGTTTAGTAGTAATAAAACTTCATTACTCTTAGACTGGGCGTGGCCTGGCCGTTAACATAACATAACTGCGAATCAGGGATCCATGGCTTACGTCTCATTTCCACAAGAATGCGCTCCGCTCTTTGGGGCTGTAGACTTGGTGTAAGAGTAACTATAAAATCCCACTATTCAATCACACAAAAATAGCTCAAAAGTTAACTATGGGGGCTGCTGACTGGCTGCATTTCTTCTAGTTTATCAGTTCAAAATAAGAACGGCTAAGCACAATAGATCTTTGCGTAGTTTTGCTCGAAAATTCTGAAACAAACAAAGAAATACATTTTTTAATTTTACTTACGCTTACAAACTATGTGGTTTTTTCTGAGTTGAGGTTATTGTAGATCTAGGCTTAAAACTGTGTTGAATTTAATTAAAAGTGTGATCTGGATTGCGTTTATTAATCAAATACTTGATTTACGTAATCTTTTCTCCAACTTATAAAGCATTACTTAGTTTGATATGAGATGCGGATTGGCCCTGTGATAAAGCTCTGAATTTCGAAACTAGGGAGTCAGTTTAGAATCCATTCACTAACACAAAATATTCTCCACACTATAAGTTGTGGGTGTTATAAGAGTGACAGGTGGTGGGTAGTAAGGTACTGCTGATTGGCTGTCTTAGTAGATTTATCATAAATATAAAATGCAATAGAAATACAGTTTGATAAATAACACCCCTCTTTCTTAATAATTATATACTTTTTCATAACAAAGAACTAAGTTTCTGATCAAGTATTCCAAGTATGTTATGATATGGTACCAGAACTGGTACGCGAAATTAACAAGGAGTCAAAAGTTTGGTGTTTCACTCGTGAAAAAAGTGTGACATATTTCAGAAGACATCATATCCTGAAACACTTTAACTTTCTTTTTCTTTGTATACTGCTCAGGATTTCACGCTACCTGGTGAGTCAGTATTGTAATTCTTGCTATCAAGTTATTTCGAAATTAAACAAGGACCCATCCAAGGATTACAGTACCTAATAACAGTTCAGAAAAAAAAGAACTTCACCACAATATTTATAGTGCAGCAATATTCTTCAAATAACTCAATAAATCCTAACAGTCCTCACACTGATATTCAAACCATACTTTATCAACACACTGATAAGTATAATTATATAAATCTTAGACTGCTATTACACTGATATTTTAAAGTACATTTTAACCACACGTTCATAAAGATCACTCTAACAACTTAATTACTAAGTGAAGATGTAACACAATAACAAAATAATACTGAAAAATAAAATACACATTCACGAAAGTGTATATACATACAAAAGATAAAGCCAGTTACACCCAAAAAGAATTTTCTACATATCGGCTTCATTTTATTTGAATGAAAAACTAGAGATAAAAATGAATATTTAACAGTAAAAAAAAGTATATATTTATGAAGACATTGTTTGTATTATTCGTTTTTTTATAGAAAGTTAAATGACTGCTTTAATTCTAAATGTGACATAAACCTGAATAATAATTGTAATAAAAGAATAAAATGTGAAATATGTCCTAAAAAACGTGTTGCAAACAAATTTTTTGGTAGTGATTCTTGATTGTTTGTTTGTTTTGAATTTCGCGCAAAGCTACACGAGGGCTATCTGCGCTAGCCGTCCCTAATTTAGCAGTGTAAGACTAGAGGAAAGGCAGCTAGTCATCACCACCCACCGCCAACTCTTGGGCTACTCTAACAAATAGTGGGATTGACCGTCACATTATAACGCCCCCACGGCTGAAATGTTGAGCATGTTTGGTGTGACGGGGAGTCGAACCCGCGACCCTCAGATTGCGAGTCGAGCGCCTTAACCACCTGACCATGATGATTCTTGAAGTTTTGATTTTCTTAAAGAAGGTAAATTGACAAATGAAAGATATTTTTTATTTAGGTTATGAATGATTGAGAAATTACGTTAGTAACGCTACTTACCTATGTAGTTTACTTCTTCTCGCAGTATCACCTCTTTCTCAAATCTGGGAGCTGAGTCTGTAGAATTCACTTTATCTGTTAAGTTGTTGTTAAAACTTTGCAGTTTCTTGGGTCTAATTACTGTAACTTCCTGAAAAGCGAAAAATTACAATAACAGGAAGCTTCTTAATACTAGATGACAATTATTCAGAATTAATTATCTTTAGAAATATTCATTGCCGGTTAACAGTTATCATAGACTAATAAGAAGTTGTTTTCTACCTGCGATACTTCAATAAATCATGTAAAATGAAGCACAGAAACAAAGATATAAGACAACACAATAGTCGAACTATCGGTTAAACATGCAGATAATTTTGACTTGCAAATGTATACAAAAACAACAAAGAAGATAAATAAAACTGAAGACTTTAAGAGTTTAATTGAGGAAGACTGGACAGGCCCTAGTAGCTAACGTGCTCTGAATTTGGATGCGAGGGTTCTTAGTTCACATCCAGTTGCTGCAAAAAATAACAACGGTGTTTCGTATTTAGGGACTCAGGTGCGCTATAAGAGTGACAGTCAACTCCCACTATTCAAGCAGATATGATCCAAGATTTGGTGGTAGATGCAATTGACTTGCTGCCTTCCTTCTAGTCTATGAATTTAAAATGAGGGACGAATATATATGCATATAGTCCATATTTAGCTTAGCAAGAAACTTTATATCGAATAAACAAACTAATACCTAAATGAGTTATTTAAGTTAATCCTAAAAATAAAGGTTATTGTAGTTTACAAAACCACTTGTAACCAGCACTTACTCACTAATCACTAAACATTTTTTACTCGTGCAACGAGGGTACTCTTTGTGTAGAAGAAAAAATATTCACGAATTATTATTCTAATTAACTTCTTACTAAAGTTTAGTAAAAAATATTACAGTCAACTGAAAAATTTATATCTGTATAAAATATATTTACAATATTTTGTTCCGGCATGGCCAGATGGTTAGGGAGCTCGACTAGCAATCTGCAGGTCGAGGGTTCGAATCCCCCGTTCCACCAAACATGCTCGCCTTTCAGGCGTGGGAGCGTT